CCTGCTACGGTGGTCAGATAGAACTGGCTGTCTTAAACTGGCTTTCTGGGGACATACTCTGAGACTGAGAGCCCTGTGCATGCAGGAAGTTTACTGTGGAGGGCTTTTGGGAGATGCACCTGGGACAGATGAGGGAGGCAGGATGGGGCAGTGTGGAAAAGCCGGCTGGTAATGAGGTTGCAACTGAGGCTGTGGCTGACACCGCAGGGAGCTCTGGAGCTGGCTGGCTCTGCAGCTGCCCTGCCTTGAGTCAGGTGGGGAGAGCCTTTGTCTCTCACATCAGCCAGTAGTTCCCAGGCAGGGCTGAAGGCATCTGTAGCAGCTGCTCTCCCCAGCAGGGAGATGCCTTGGCTTGAACAGGTGACCTAGGCAGGGTGCCACCACATCCACTCCACTGCCACCTCCTCTTTCTGTCTTGGACAAGGACTTCATGGCCAAAGAGACAGCAAAAATAGAGACCCAGATGCTGACAGCCGTTCGACCAAGACCAGCCCCCTCTGCTTGAACTTCATAAGAAATCCAAGATGACAATATCTGTTCCCCACTGTGGTCAGCTCACGATACATGTAGCCAAATGCACTGCACCCTGGTAGAAGTACTCTTTTTCACCTTCCACTTCCTCCAAAAGCCCACCAGTGCCTTCCCTTCAAAGCCTGGTTCTCCCTTAGGCCTGATCCAGAGACTCTACTTCCAAAATGGACCTGTAATTGTTCTTCCTCCTCCTACTTCCCAGGCACTGCCCGTGCCCTCATCACCAGGTACTGCAAATTCTGCCTCCGAGAGTCAGGCAGCATCTCCAAGGGCTTGTGGCCAGTCTCTCAGACATGGTCAGATTCTACCCATCTGTGGCCCCAAATCCTTCCTTGCCCTCAGGGTAAAGTACAAACCTTTTGGAAAGTGACCTCCCAGGCCTTGATTGCAAGTATGTCCTTGCCTTATGTCCAGCTGCATGTCCTGCCACCCCCATCGCCCAGCCCTGATGGACCAGTGTCAGCATGGCAGCTGTGGCCAGCTCAGCCCTGCTGTTGCATTCATGCTCGTGGTGGACATTCTATTCTCTCTCCCTGGGGATATGAAGCTGTCTTCTTGTCTCTTTTCGTCTATGTGAAAAAACTCTTTTTATCTCTTTATCTCAAAGTCTTTCTCAAACCCCTGACCCTTTTGTACAGTTAATCATTGCCTCCTTGGGCACCTCAGCATCCGGGTGTGTGCTGTGCTGTGCTGTGCCGTATTACGCCTCATGCTGTGCTGGTCTGCCCCACAAGGCTATGAGATTCCATGGGCAGGAATTCTTGGATGTCTCATTAATTCTCAGATGTTTTTATCATCTTTGCCCTTCCCTATGCCCAGCACCCTCCCCTGACCCTACCAACCTCAGCTCTGAGTGCCCTGCTCACACTGTTGACAAGAATGGGGATTTGCAAAAGCCACAGCCGGGCTACAGGAATCGATAACGTGGTTGACTCTTAAGCTCTCCTAGTCCTCACCGCCAACCCACAGTCTACATCTCAGGGGAAAGGGGTGTTCTCTGCTTCTTTCCCTTTCTTCTTGGCCTGCACTACGGTGGATTAGTTTCTTTCACTCTAGCTTCCCATCTGTACAAAGAGGAAGAGACTGGCCTGCCACCGCCAGGACCTAGTCCAGTTTTGGTGGCCCTGCAGGGCCATGCACCATGCACAGCCGAGGTTACCCTGGCTGTAGGGAAGGCTGGCTAGCTGCGGAAGGGCCCAGCTTGATTCCAGGCCACCCCTGGCTATGGGCCCAGTAGGGCCCAGCACTAGTAGGTGTTGACTTAAAAGGAAAAGGTCGAGGCACAAATATAAAGAGTTTACTTGACCCAAAGTGAGGACAGCTGCCTGGAAGACTCAGACACAAGTCAGCTTGGAAATAAGCTTCATCAGATTTTTGTTACAAGCAGTTTTTTAAAGGCAAAGTGGGAGACAAGAAGTGAGTTGATTTAAATCCATCTGGAATTCTCACTGGTTTATAGAAATAACATTGAGGTCGGGCATGGTGGCTCACGCCTGTAATCCCAACACTTTGGGAGGCCGAGGCTGGCGGATCACTTGAGATCAGGAGTTTGAGACCAGCCTGGCCAACATGGTGAAACCCCATCTCTACTAAAAACACACAAAAAATTAGCCAAGCGTGGTGGTGTTTACCCAACTACTTAAGAGGCTGAGGCAGGAGAATCGTTTGAACCAGGGAGGCAGAGGTTGTAGTGAGCTGAGATGCACACCACTGCACTCCAGCCTGGGGGACAGAGCAAAACTCCATCTCAAAAAAAAAAAAAAAAAGGAAAAAAATATGACATTGGCTGTACATTGTTAGGTTATACCGGGTGGTTTATACTGCCTGGTGTGGCTTTATTAGGTTAATTAAAGCTCCTTGTTGTTAGCAAGCAGTTTCAAGAGATGAATACATAGCTCAAGAGTTGATTACTGTCTCCTTTTATTGTCTCTCTAGGCCTGATAATTTAAAAGGACCCTCATTTCTCAGGTAAAAGTTCTTTTCTTTCTTCATAGTGCTAATAAAAATGTGTTAAGTGCCCCCAGAGCCCCAAAGACCTGTGTATGGGGACCTCTTCTGAGGGGACTGCTAAAACAATGGCTCCAAAAGTGTCAGAGAAGCAGTTGCATTTGAGGGACAGGAGTGGCAATTGTCCCCTCTAAGTGAGATGGATCAGGGGTCTTCACTCTCCCTCTGGAGGAAGCCAGAACTGGCTGGGGCAGCTCTGCTCAGGCCACCTCCTTCCTCTGCCTTTGCTTCTTATGTGAAGACTGACATTGTGATTTATAAGAAGAAATGGAGCTCCTAAAATCCTTGGAATCTCCAAAATGATATATGCCTTTTTGTAACTAATGATTAGGGGGATGGGGGCTCCTGGTGGCCTCAGGATGGCACTGGTTGACAGGGAAACCAACCATGTGAATAGACAGTTGAAATATTCAAGCCTGGCTGACCACTGACTTCTGATTTGGGAGAGGAGCTGGAGATGAAGTTAATCACCATTGGTCAATGATTTAATCAATTATGCCTACAAAATGAAGCCTCCATTGAAAAATGCCAACATAATCAACACTTCCAAAAGGATGGTGTTGGGAGAGCTTCTGGGTTGGTGAACATGCAGACATGATGGGAAGGTGGTGTGCCTGGAGAGGGCATGCAAGCAAGCTCCATGCCCCTTTCCCATACCTGGTGTCATGCATCTCTCCCACTGGCTGTCTCTGAGTTTTAGCTTTTTTATTCTTATTTCAATAGTTTGGGGGTAACAAGTGGTGTTTGGATACACGGATAAGTTCTATAATGGTGATTTCTGAGATTCTGGTGTACCCATCACCGTAGCAGTGTACACTGTAACCATTGTGTAGTCTTTTATCCTTCACCCCTCTCCCACCCTTCTCCCCAAGTCCCCAGAATCCATTATATCATTCTTATGCCTTTGAATCCCCAAGTTCTATCGTTTATAACTAAGCTGTTCCCCGGAGTTCTCTGAGCCATTCTAGCAAACTATCCAGTATGAGAAGTGGACTGTGGAAACCTCCAGTTTATAGTTGGTTGGTCAGAAACACGGGGGACAAACTTGACTTGCAGTTGGCATCTGAAACAGGGGTGGTCTTGTGGGACTGAGCTTGTAATCTCTAGGCAAATAGTATCATAATTGAGTTAAATTATAGGACACCCGATTGGTGTCCCAAGAATTGGAGAAGTGATTGGTGTGGGGAAAATGGTCACACTTCCGATACCAGTAGGAAGGAAACAGGATTTACATTTCAGAAACACACTGTCACTTTTAGGAAGAAGGGAGCAAAGACTCTTTCAGGGTCAACACCAACAAGCTACCTGACCCAGGATCCAAATTTGGAGATCAGCAAAGCAGGAAGGAGAACACGGAGGAGTCCACTTCTGCTTCTTTCTGGTCTTGCCAGCTCTGGAAAGTCATGCCACTGCTGCAAGACTCAAATTTCTGTTCATAAATTGGGATGATGGGGATTCCTACACCATATGCCAAGACATAGTTATGTCAAGGTGGCCAATGCCGTCTTCCCAAGGGGCTATTCCAAGGTTAGGTTAAGTCAAGGTGCAGTTAGGTTAGATGTAATTACAACAAGGTATAGCAATGTCAAGGTGCATTTACTCCAAGGTTTAGATATGGCAAGAGATCGTTATGTTAAGGTGCTATCATGTTAAGTTATAGTTACATCAAGGTGTGTGCCATGGACAGAATTGTGTCCCCCCACCTTGCCAGCTCCCAAATTCATGCTGAAGCCCTAACCACCAGTGCAACTATATTTGGAGACAGGGTTTTTAGGAGATAATTGACGTTACATGAGGTCCTAATGATGGGACCCTGATTCAATAAAGCTGGTTTCCTTATCAGAAAAGGAAGGGAGCTCACACTCTGCCATGTGAGGACTGCAGTGAGAAGGCCGCGGCCTTTAAGCCGGGAAGAGAGCCCTCACCAGGAATGGAATCACCTGGCACTTTGATCCTGGACTTCTAGCCTCCGAAACCCCATGAGAAATAAACTTTTGTTAAACGTTTAAGTCGTGTGGTGTTTTGTTGTGATGGCCTAAGCCGACCAAGAAGGTAAGGTTATGCCAAGGTGCAGCTGCGAGGTGCATGTGCAAGTGTGCGTGAAGTAGATCTGAAAGCCTATGACGAAACAGTACACTGATTTGCATCATCACATCGGACAGGAACCTACCCCGTGACATTCCCTCGGCCGTGAGAGGAAACAATCCCGGCACTTTTACATAAAATCATGGAGCTATTTCTCGCTGCAGAGTTAAGGCTCTAAGAGAACTGGGGGGCCCTTCGGAGGCGGGGATCTGGCTGAGTTGGGTTCGGTTACCTCAGGGCCCCACTGGGTGGCGCCGGGGCCCCGCGTGAAGGCTGAGAGTGGCAGTCCTCGGGTGACGTCAGGTGGGCGGAGCCGGGAACCCGGCCCCGCCCAAGCGTGGTCCCCGGGTCTTCCCAGGAAGGCGTCACGCGCAGGCGCAGAAGTGAACCGGGGGGTGCCTGGAAGAGGGAGGAAGGACCTCAGCTTGAAGCGCCTTTTGTTCAGTCTGGTTATTGAGCGCTCGCAGAGTCCCAGGGTGTGCCTGCGCGAAAGGGGGACACCGGCTCAGGCTGGCGGCTCCCGGGGCAGCTGAGGGACCATGACTAGGAACGTTGAGGGTCTCAGGGCTGCAGGGGAAGAATCGTGACTGTCCATACATTGTTCAAAGCCAACCGGTTTCCTTCATCAGCCGCTGCTGTCGGGTATGTATCCAGATCTCTAGAAGCTTCCAGGGCCACCTTGACCTGCCCCAGCTCCCACCCTCCCTCTCCAAGGCCCTAGAAGACGAATTTACACAGGTGTTTCTCGCACCCTGGGCTCTGTTATTTGGTCCACCTGCTGCTGAAATTCTGCCCCTGGGTCCGAGGAGGGGCTTCCCCAGCGAGCAACCGACTCCCACAATCTGGGGCACATATCTTTCTCTCCGTTCCTCAGTTTACCTATCTGCGGACTGATGGACATACACAGATCTCCTCCAAGGCCCTCCCAGGTCACTACAACCTCCTAGAGAGGGGCGGAGTGCACCGCCGGGCCACGTTCATGCAGTGAAAGGGCAGGTCATGAAGCCCGAGTCAAACGCCTCCTTTTTTTTTTTTTCTTTTGAGATGGGAGTTTGGCTCTTGTTGCCCTGGCTGGAGTACAGTGGTGCGATCTCGGCTCACTGCAACGTTTATTTCCCAGGTTCAAGCCAGTCTCCTGCCTCAGTCTCCCAAGTAGCTGGGATTACAGGCATGCTCCACTACACCCAGCTAATTTTTTTTTTTTTTTTTTTTTTTCAGAGACGGGGTTTCTCCTTCGTCAGGCTGGTCTCAAACTCCCGAACTCAAGTGATCTGCCTGCCTCAGTCTCCCAAAGTGCTGGGATTATAAGGGTGAGCCACTGCGCCAGGACTTTTTCTTTTTCTTTTTCTTTTTTTTTTTTTTTAGTTTTGTTTAGTTTTAAACAGGGTCTCACTCTGTTGCAGAGGCTGGAGAGCAGTGGCTAGATCATAGCTCACTGCAACCTTGGCCTGTGAGGCTCAAACGATTCTCCCACCTCAGCCTCCTGAGTAACTGGGACTACAGGCATGTGCCACCACCCTTACTAATTTTTGTGTTTTTTGAGGAAACAGATTTAGCCAGGTTGCCCCACCTACCTTTCTAATTTTTGTATTTTTTGTGGAGACAGATTTGGCCATGTTGCCCAGGCTGGTCTCAAAACTCCTGGGCCGAACCATCTGCCTGCCTCAGAGTGCTGGGATTACAGCCCTGTCCTGGAGTCCCTTCCTAATCAGGCTCCTTTGGTGTGGATTCAGGAGACACAGATGTGGGAGAGGGTGAGATCTTCCGGGAAGGGTACAACCCTGGGGGCACATGCCTGCTGGGACAGCCATGATGTTTGGTTTTAGCCGAAGCTTGAAAAATTAGTTCTGTGGCATGCATGTCTGCTCTGGGACAGGCCTTCCTGCTTTCAAGAACCCGGAGGCCAGGAGCGGAATGAGACAGACTAGAGGCCTCACTTCTTAGGGTGAGGGGTCACTGGCCCCACCTGAAAGTGGAGCAGAGGGGAGGGGAGGGACTTATTTGGGGCCTCCTAGCAAGTGTGACCTCCTGAAAGTTACTAGAATGATTGCTGGTCAAGCACATGGGTCCCTTTGGTCTAGGATCACCCTGCTGGAGCTCTGGAGGATGAAGGGAGCTTGGTGGGGGAGTACACTGGGAACAGCATGAGGAAGGGCACTGGCACAGCAGCAGCCAGCTGGCTGGGGACTGGCAGCAGGGCCTGGGCTGGGGTCCCGCTCACAGGGATTGGCTGTTGCTGTGACTTCCGGCAGGGAATGGAGAGCTCTAAGTAAGGTGGGAATTTAAGCCGTGAGTGGCAGATCCTTGTGCCTACACTGGCCACCTGGGAGGGTGGCCACTGCAGGGAGGTGACCTGATTCTCTTTGGTGGTTGTGTCCTTCTCGAGAATCTGTGTCCTTTGAATTCACTAAGAACTAAACATTGCCATTTTGGGTCCACATCAGGATGTATATGGAGATAATTATACTTTTTATTAGTCTTAGTAATTATTATAATAGCAGTGTTCTCAGATCCTCAGAGGATTGAAGCCCTTGCACGAACATTTTCTCCATGGCCATTGGGGTGTCTACTTGTCAGCAGATGTGGCACATATTCGATGACACCCTCACCGTCCCCCAGGGAGTGCTGACTCCTGGATGGGGTTGGCCCTAGGGCTGCCATCTCAGAACCCTGTAGACCCAGAGGTCATATCTCTGAAGGATCTAAGGAGCCTCCTGGATGACTTGCAAGCTCTGAGCAGGCTCCAGCTTGCTGGCATTGGGGGAAGGCTTCAGACCCTGGCCTCTGTCATTCCTACATGGAGCCCATATCTCCAAGGAGGCTGGGAGGTTCTGTTTGGGGGTCAATTTAAATGTAAAGAAGCAGAATATGGAGAGTTTGGGAACCCAAGGAGGGGACAAAAGACAGAATCAGGACCCAGTCTTAAATACTTTTTGACAGATTGCTGGCCACCTACTCATGCCAGGCTTGGCCCTGGGTACTGGATGTTAGGATAAATGAGAAATGGCCTCTGCCCATGAGGGGCTCACTGACACTGGAAAAGACAAACCAGGGGAGCCAGAAAGAGGGAGGGCAAGGTGCTGGGGAACTGAGCCCCAAACCCCATTTCTTTTACTGCCCATGCCCCCTGCATCTGATCATGGCCAGAATTTGTCCTTGCCTTGTGCCTTTAACTATGGAGAATCCTGGAATTTTTTTAGAAATCCAGTTTCACAGAATAAAAGATTTTCTTTTTCAGATGTGATCCACTAAAACTGTAACTTAATTTCATTTTGATGCTTCTTTAAAATTCTTTGATATAAATAACTTACACATTTAAAAAAGCCAAATTTAGTTTTGGAAATTACAGCCTGCATAGTTCACACAAGTTTACTTCCCAATCACGCACACACTCACAGGCACACACACAGGGTGCTGCCCACCCTGGGAGCACAGCCTGAATCTGCACATGTGGATATACGCATTTGGGCTCAGACCCCAGGCAAAGGCCAGAAGAACAGCTGTCACTCTGTGAGAAGTGGCTGGAAGCTGCAGGTAACACTTGTGGGAACCGCTGGGGAGCCCTCCTGTCTCTGGCCATCTCTGTTGGAGTGGGTCAGGTAAGGAGCAATGGAGAAAGGTAAAGGGATGGTAGACAGGATGGGTGCTTCCCCAAGTATAGCCTGCTGCTTTCTTACTGCTTCCCATGGGCTCTTTTCAGAGGTGCCTCTGGTAGCACAGCCCGGTTGGTCACTAGGTCCCATTTCCCTGGGATGAAGGTTTGGGCCCAGCTCACCTGAGGGATCATGGAGGGTGAGGGAAAGGACATGAGGTGGGACTCAGGATATGCCAGGCACATGACACCTGGTTCCTCCACTCCACCATGGCCCTGGGCAGGATTTCTCACCCAACTGGGCTCAGAGAGGTCAGGCTGCCAGCCCACAGCTCAGAGTGGGTGACTGAGGAGGTTGCATTCTGGCTTAGGTCTGACCTCCTGAAATGCCCAGGGCCTGTGCTACCAAGAGGAAGGTTCAGAGGAGACAGGGCTCTTCCCCTGACCTCACAGGCAACTGTGTCCTCAGACAGTTTGTGCGACAAATGGGTAATATTTCCCATGTGTTCAGGAAGAGGGCAAGATCAGCAAGGTTCCCCCGAATACCCCCCACTTTGGAGAACCACTCTCTGAAAAAAAAAAAAAAGGTATTGTTTTCTTTTCATTCCATGACGTGTAAAAGGTTAGTAAGTAAATAAAATATAAGAAGGTTCTACTATGTACCAGGCTTCTTCTGTTTTTATTATTTGGCTCCCTTCCTGCCCAAGTACAGTCACAACACCCAAGGCAGGTTGTCACTCTGATAATTAAATGATTCTGTATTGCAATTGACTCTTCAGAAGTCAATTAAGGCGGGGTGGGGTGGGGTGGGAAAGAAGACTTTGTGCTAGTAAGACAGATTCTGAAAAATGTAAAAAGAAATAATACCAAACACAGAAATATAATACTTTGGGCAGAAATAAGGGGGCAAAGAGGTAGAGGGAAGCATTTTTCCTCTCAGTATATAGTAGGTCCTCAATAAACATTTGTTAAATGAATACTTTCTTAGGGACAATCTCCTTATCCATATTAATGAGAAATGTTTTCTTGATACACTATTTGGAAGTGGCCATAGTACAGCTGATTTAATGGTAGGGCCATCAAGTCTGCATTTCATCCCTCTTCCTGGGTACTGAACCTGCTCTCTATCAACACAGCAAGACCCTTGACTTAGAGCACCTCATGTACACAGCAGGAATAAAAGGAGAGGAGAAATGGAGAATGAAACCTGGCCTAACCTTCCTTATCTAGCCCTTTTCTAATCCATCCAGGTACCTTTTCTGATTCTTCACAAAGACATTATGTAAGTTTTCAGAAGCTTTAGCTGGGCCACATTTCTAGGTTTCCAGGATTTGAAGAATTATCTCAACATAGAGACCGATTTCTGGACACCGAATAGAAAATCTGAAATCACTCTAAATTGGTGATTGTCAACTGTCAGGGTCACCACCTGTGGGGATCTCTCCTGAAGACCCTGACTCAACAATAAAGTTGAGTTGATGAATAAAGTACACTGACACACAGATTTATGGTTTGCCAGTCTGGCTGAAGGTGACCAGGTGCCTTACAGGTCACCCTGGAGAGTGCTGTGAACAGTTGCAACCGCCAGCCCCCACCAGCCAGTGAGACTCACATTTATTTAGTAAAGTTTAATTGACAAAAGCTTGAGTCAACACCACTAGAGTGAAAGATTAAAGCACTGGTTCCAGTGCCCAAAGCAAACACCACTAGAGGATAATATCCCTGGTCAACCTCCCCCAGAGAGGGATGACATCCACCTCAAGGGTTAGTTTTAAGACCACATGAGTAAACAAGTTAGATAAGCTCCCCCACATGCCCTAGCTATTTGCTTTACATATTAACTAAATGTAAGGGGGATTTAGGCTGCTTTCAGTGGAAACTTTCACTGAAGCTATGAAAAAATCTTTAGGCCTTCCGAAAGGGTTTGAGGCTATATTTTATAAACTTTCTCTACTACTTTTCCTTTAATATTTTTGCCACCATCCTGAATGAATTCCTTTAGTCAATAGGATAGTTTTGCTCCAGGGGACATTTGGCACCACCTAGAGACATTTTATTAATTTTCACAACTAGTGATTCTTATTGGCATTTAGTGAGTAGAGGTCAGGGATGCTGCTTAAGTGCCTATAATACAAAGGACAGTGGTCCACAATTTAGAATTACCTCAGTATCTCAGCAAAGAATTATGTCAGTAATGCCACAATTGAGAAGCACTGTGCTAGATTGAAATCTCTTCTGCAGTGTTTTCTCAGACCAAAGCTTTACCTGTGACAACTTGTAGTAACCTATCTGCTTTGGTGTTCACCCTTAATTTACCAAGTGAACAGATATGTACCAAATGCCAACAGCTCTCTACCAGGCATGCAAGCAAGGAAAAAGCAACAACTTTCCTCAAAACAAAACCATAGAAGTTAGTTAGAAAAGAAAGTGCAAAACAGAGGGTATCTTCTCAAAGAAATAAACAACAACAAAAATATCCAGAAGGTAGCCAACCACAGAAATGTATATAGGGTTTTTGTCACTACTGAGGAAATGAGTTAGAATATGGATGGCTCAGGCCTCCTAGGTTAAATTTGAAGTTTTGTTTTTGTTTTTGTTTTTGTTTTTGTTTTAAAAAAAAGCTAATAAGAAGTTGAGAAAGAATGGGTGAAGGCAGTTTGGTTTAGTATGTTCTGTGGAACATTTGCCTTTCTCCCATAGAAAGAGTTCACAAATGGTAGTTCAGTTCCGGGTCAGCCCAGATGAGCTTACTGAACCATAGTCCAGCTGAGGCTCCAAAACCACAGGAGTCCAGGGATACACAAGCCCTGAGCTTTCTTGGAAGAAAGAAAGACAAACAGATTATCTGTTTCTTCTCTCCTCAGATTCCCTAAGTCACCTCCTCTACACCACCTCTCTCAAAGGTAAGGGTAATCCTAGAAAACCTTTAACTAGTTTTTAAAAAATTTATAAGTAAAGTTCATACAAATTAAAAATGTGTTCTTGGAAAAAAAAAACATCCCACCTCAGACCTTTATCCCCAGGCTTCTTTCATAGAGACAAAGTCACTATTTATAACATTTCTTCCAGAAATAGTCTCTGCATATACTCTAATGTATGCATGCATGTATCACCTTTCAAATTATAGGCAGAAATGGAAGCATGCAGTCTGTTGTGCACTTTTTTCCCAACTTATTTTAAGTTCAGGGGTACATATGTGGGATGTGCAGGTTTGTTACATAGGTAAACGTGTGTCATGGTGGTTTGCTGCACAGATCAACCCATTACCTAGGTATTAAGCCCAGCATCCATTGGCTGTTCTTTTGATGTTCTCCCTCCCCTACCCCCATGACAGGCCCCAGTGTGTGTTGTTCCCCACCCACTTGTCCTTGTGTTCTCATTGTTCAGCTCCCCCTCATAAGTGAGAATGTGAGGTATTTGGTTTTCTGTTCCTGAGTTAGTTTGCTGAGGATAATGGCTTCCAGCTCCAACCGTGTCCCTGCAAAGGTCATGATCATGTTCCCTTTTTGGCTGCATACTATTTCACAGAGTGTATATACCACATTTTCTTTATCCAGTCTAACATTGGTGGGCATTTGGGTTGATTCCATGTCTTTGCTATTGTGCATAGTGCTGCAATGAATGTACGCATGCATGTATCTTTATAATAGAATTATTTATATTGCTTTGGGTATATACCCAATAATAGGATTGCTGGGTCAAATGGTATTTCTGCTTCTAGATCTTTGAGGAATTGCCACACTGTCTTCCACAATGGTGAAACTAATTTACACTCCCACCAACACATATAAAAACATTCCTTTTTTCTCTGCAACCTTTCCAGCATCTGTTGTTTCTGGACTTTTTCAAAATTGCCATTCTGACTGGCATGAGATGGTATCTAATTGTGGTTTTTAATTTGCATTTCTCAAATGATCAGTGATGTTGAGCATTTCTTCATATGTTTATTGGCTGCACAAATGTCTTCTTTTGAGAAGTATCTGTTCATGTTCTTTGCCCATTTTTAAATGATTTTTTTTCCTTGTAAATTTGTTTAGGTTCCTTGTGGTCTCTGGATATTAGACTTTCATCAGGTGGAGAGATTGCAGAAAAATTTTCCCCATTCTATAGGTTGTCTGTTCATTCTGATGATAGTTTCTATTGCTGTGCAGAAACTCTTAAGTTTAATTAGATTCCATTTGTCAATTTTTGCTTTTGTTGCAATTGTTTTTGCTATTTTTGTCATGAAATCTTTGCCTGTTTCTATGTCCTAAATGATATTGCCTAGATTTTTTTCTAGGGTTTTTACAGTTTTGAGTTTTACCTTTAAGTCTTTAATTAATCTTGAGTTGCTTTTTAAATAAGATGTAAAGAAGGGGATTACAATTTTCTACATATGGGTAGCCAGTTCTCCCAGCACCATATATTAAATAAGGAGTCCTTTCTCCATTGCTTGTTTTTATCAGGATTGTTGAAGATCAGATGGTTTTAGATGTGTGGTCTTATTTCTGAGTTCTCTATTCTGTTTCATTGATCTATGTGTCTGTTTTTATACCAGTACCATGCTGTTTTGGTTACTGTGGCTCTGTAGTATAGTTTCAAGTGGGGTAGCATGATGCTTCCAGCTTTGTTCTTTTTGTTAGGATTGTCTTGGCTGTTTGGGCTTTTTTTTGGTTCTATGTGAATTTTAAAATAGTCTTTTCTAATTATTTAAAGAATGTCAATGGTAGCTTAATGGGAATAGCATTGAATCTATAAATTACTTTGGGCAGTATGGCCATTTTCATGTTATTGATTCTTCCTATCTATGAGCATGAAATGTTTTCCATTTGTTTGTTTCCTCTCTGATTTTCTTGAGCAGTGGTTTGTAGTTCTCCTTAAGGAGGTCCTTCACTTCCCTTGTTATCTGTATTCCTAGATATTTTATTCTTTTTGTGTCTGTTGTAAATGGGACTTCATTTACGATTTGGCTCTTTGCTTGCCTGTTGTTGGTATACAAGCATGCTGGCAATTTTTGCACATTGATTTTGTTAAGCTGAGACTTTGCTGAAGTTGCTTATCAGCTTAAGAAGCTTTTGGACTGAGATGATGGGGTTTTCTAAATATAGGATTATGTTATCTGCAAACAGGGATAGTTTGACTTCCTATTTGACTACTCTTTATTTCTTTCTCTTGCCTGACTGTCCTGGCCAGAACTTCCAATACTATGTTAAATAGGAGTGGTGAGAGAAGGCATCTTTGTCTTGGTACACTTTCTTTCTTCCCATAAATCTACTTTACTTCTTTAATGGCTGCAGAATATCCCATGGTATGGATGTACTATTGGTATCAACATTAGGACAGTGCCTAGGAATATTTTGAAAAAGCGAAAGTTCATCTTTCCCCTCTTACTACCTCTTATCCCTACCCCTGTCCTCCATATACAGCTGCCTTGAACCCTTCACCTTATTTCTCTTGACTGGTTTTACTCTATCCCCTTTCCCAAAGGATTTATCCTCCAAAAGCATGAACTTTCTGACTCCAACCAAAAACTCACCTTCTTTCAGAGTGGCTGGTCTGACCTGCTTTATTCCAAAAGAAAGTAATTTGATTCAAACTAATTATTTTGTGAATTACTGCCAACTCCTTAGCCCTCACATTTAGAAAGGAGATGTTAACTAAGTTAGCACATCATTGGGATTTCAGAGAGCAACAATTGATTTAAAAAAAAAAAACAAAACAAAAAAACAGAACAGAACAGAAGCTGTTGAGAGCATACAATTTTAGGTTGGGATAAGCCATACTGGCTATTATCTCATGTCAGAAAATCTAGGCACAGAGAGCTTCCTCTAACTGATGATATTTTGGGCAATTTCTTCATTTCCTTTAGCCAAAAGTCCAAGTATTTTTCAAAAGCTCTAAGGTTTTACACAATACTCTTAGTAAGGGGCCTGGAAAGACCAGGCCAGCTGTCTATAGGTATGGGCCATTAGTAAACAGGTACCCATAACATATGGAGCCACCATTCTGAGACTGGCCATCAGTCAACTGAGAAAAGAATATGGCATCTATTTCATCCAGGTTTACTAGTTTATGTGCATAGAGTTGTTTGTAATAATCTCTGATGATGGTTTGGATTTCTGTGGAATCTGTGGTGATATCCCCTTTATCGTTTTTTATTGCATCAATTTGGTTATTCTCTCTTTTCTTTTTTATTAATCGGCTAGGGGTCTGTCTATTTTGTTGATCTTTTCAAAAAACCAGCTCCTGGTTTTATTGATTTTTTGAAGAGTTTTTTGTGTCTCTATTTCCTTCAGTTCTGCTCTGATCTTAGTTATTTCCTGTCTTCTGCTAGGTTTTGAGTTTTTTTGATCTTGCTCCTCTAGCTCTTTCAATTTTGATGATAGGGTGTCAATTTTAGATCTCTCCTTTCTTCTCATGTGGGCACTCATTGCTATATATTTTCCTCTAGAGACTGCTTTAAATGTGTCCCAGAGATTCTGGTATGTTGTGTCTTCATTCTCATTGGTTTCGAAGAACATCTTTATTTCTGCCTTCATTTCATTGTTTATCCAGTCAACATTCAAGAGCAAGTTATTCAGTTTCCATGAAGCTGTGCGGTTCTGAGTTAGTTTCTGCATTCTGAGTTCTAACTCGATTGCACTGTGGTCTGAGAGACTGTTTGTTATGATTTCTGTTCTTTTGCATTTGCTGAGGAGTGATTTATTGCCAATTATGTGGTCAATTTTAGAGTAGGTGTGATGTGGTGCTGAGAAGAATGTATATTCTGTGGATTTGGGGTGGAGAGTTCTGTAAATGTCTATTAGGTTTGCTTGTTCCAGGTCTGTATTCAGGTCCTGGATATCCTTGTTGATTTTCTGTCTGGTTGATCTAATATTGACAATGGGGTGTTAAAGTCACCCACTATCATTGTGTGGGAGTCTAAGTCTCTTTGTAAGTCATTAAGAACTTGCCTTATGTATCTGGGTGCTCCTGTATTGGGTGCGTATATATTTAGGATCGTTAGCTCTTCTTGTTGCAGTGATCCTTTTACCATTATGTAATGTCCTTCTTTGTCTCTTTTGATCTTTGTTGCTTTAAAGTCTATTTTATCAGAGATGAGAATTGCAACTCCTGCCTTTTTTTGCTCTCCATTTGCTTGGTAGATCTTCCTCCATCCCTTTATTTTGAGCCTTTGTGTATCCTTGCATGTAAGATGGGTTTCCTGCATACAGCACACTGATGGGTTTTGGCTTTTTATCCAATTTGCCAGTCTGTGTCTTTTGATTGGGGCATTTAGTCCATTGACATTTAGGGATAGTATTGTTATGTGTGAATTTGATACTGTCATTTTGATGCTACCTGGCTGTTTTGTTGGTTAGTTGATGCAGATTCTTGATTGTGTTGATGCTCTTTTACCATTTGGTGTGTTTTTGGAGTGGCTGGTACTGGTTGTTCCTTTATATGTGTAGAGCCTCTTTCAGGAGTTCTTGTAGGGCAGACAAATGGGACCTAATCAAACTCCACAGCTTCTGCACGGCAAAAGAAACAGTCAGTAGAGTGAATCGGCAATCAACAGAATGGGAAAAAATTTTTGCAGCCTACCCATCTGACAAGGGGCTGATATCCAGAATTTACAAAGAACTAAAGCAGATCTACAAGAAAAAAACAAAACAAGCCCATTCAAAAATGGGCGAAGGATATGAACAGATACTTTACAAAAGAAGACATACAGGAGGCCAACAAACATATGAAAAAATGCTCATCATCACTGGTCATCAGAGAAATGCAAATCAAAACCACATTGAGATACCATCTCACACCAGTTAGAATGGCGATCATTAAAAAATCGGGAAACAACAGATGCTGGAGAGGATGCGGAGAAATAGGAACACTTTTACACTGTTGGTGGGAATGTAAATTAATTCAACCATAATGGAAGACAGTGTGGCGATTCCTCAAGGACCTAAAAATAGAAATCCCATTTGACCCAGCAATCCCATTACTGGGTATATATCCAAAGGATTGTAAATCATTCTACTATAAGGACACGTGCACACGAATGTTCATTGCAGCACTGTTTACAATAGCAAAGACCTGGAACCAACCCAAATGCCCAACGATGATAGACTGGATAGGGAAAATGTGGTACATGTACACCATGGAATATTACGCAGCCATCAAAAACGATGAGTTCACGTCCTTTGTAGGGACATGGATGAACCTGGAAACCATCATTCTCAGCAAACTGACACAAGAGCAGAAAATCAAACACCATATATTCTCACTCATAGGCGGGTGTTGAACAATGAGAACATATGGACACAGGGAGGGGAGCACTACACACTGGGGTCCGTTGGGGGAAAATGGGGGAGGGGCAGGGGGTGGGGAGGTGGGAAGAGATAGCATGGAGAGAAATGACAGATACAGGTGAGGGGACGGAAGGCAGCAAACCACACTGCTATGTGTGTACCTCTGCAACAATCTTGCATGTTCATCACATGTACCCCAAAACCTAAAATGCAATAAAAAAAAAAAAAGAATATGGCATCACTTGCAGATGCTCACAAGAGAACTTAGACATATAGAAGAGGGATAACTGAGTGAGACTGGAGTTGTGCAGAATATATATATATATATATATATATATATATATATATATATACACACACACATATATATATATACACACACACATATATATGTATATATAAAATTATATATGGATAACTACACATATTAATATATGTACAAACATAATTTTAAAAGAGCACAAACAGAAACACATACATAACCCAAATGCAGTTATTTTAATAGTGGGGGCCAGAGGGTCCTTTTGTCACCTACTGTCAGTGAAGGGATCCAAAATGATCACGAGTCTTTTTCTGCCAGTTTCCAGACCCTATCCTGACAGCAAACACCAGGACAGTGTCTTTAACCAGAGCTAGCCCAAGGCCTATCACCCTCTAATGGAAAAGCTATCTACTACCCAAACTTTTCAATCAGGACAGGCACTCTTCTTTTGAATATCCAAGGTGGAGAGGAAAAATGGCTTAGTCTGAGCCCTCAGGATGGGCAGGGGCAGCACAAGTGTGGATGGCATCAGATGGTAGAGGGTGGAGAGAGAACCAGGCCAGGGTAGAACTGCACTGAGGGCCATTAGTGCCTTTTGGAGGCCAGGTAAGTGGCCTCAGATGCTGACAGCTACATGGTCCTGGGTAAGTCTGTTCTGGTTGGTTTTATTTGCATCTGGAGAATCCTACAGGGCAGCCTTGAAGAACATCAACTTGGAGGCACACAGTATACCAGGTTCCTGTGTCCTTGCCATAAGCATAAGAAGCAGGGAAAACAAGAGGCTGACTGAACAAACTCTTGTGCACTCAAATGTAAAGGACAGGAGAATAAAACTAGGTCAGTGGCAGATGGTTGAAAACTGCCATCCCAGGTGGATGGATGATGCCTGTCACCTAACTAGGGCCTAGCTTGTGGGGTGAGGCCAGTCGCCATGGTGGATGTGAATGGCCCATGTGCAATCTGGAGGCTACAGAGAGCGCTAGGCTCAACTTTCTCAAACAGCAGAAGAAGAAATGACCTGGTATGTGAAGTCCAGTGTACAGGTGCCATTATCCAAGCACCTATTCTTGCTGTGACCTTTAGATATTATAAAAGCATCAGCCATCCTGCCTTTGAGTTCTTACATTTTGTGTGACTCATACACATTAATAAATATACATGCCTTTCCTTCTATTAATCTGCCCTTTGTGGGTTGATTTTCGGCATCACTTCACAGGGTAAGTGGAAGTTGGTTCTTGGCCCATGCAACATTTTTATTCATAAATAAATATAGATAGCATATTTAGTTACATGTATGTATGCATACATATAAACAACTATACATACATATATATCCATATAAAACAAACATAAATCACAAACACAGACACACACAGACACTGATGTAAATGCATTTATGCCAGAGGCCGCTAGGCCCTCTTGCCACCCACTGACAGTAAAGGGAACTGCAAAAGCTATAGGAGTCTTTCTCTGCCATATCCATGTGACCCTGCATTGATGGCCAACACCGAACCAGCACCCTTTAACCAGACCCCGTCCAGGTGCCACCACCCTCCAGTGCAAAAGCTCCCCATATCCCTAGAATCTGGCAATCAGGATAGGGGCTCTTTTTTTGAAGACCTTAAGTAAGTATATGCATGGAGTTCCAGTTCAAGTGAGTAGAGAAGAGGCTTTCCGCAGAGAGAAAGGTGAAGTCTGAGCCTTCAGGATGGGCAGTGTAAACATGGCTGAAGTGAGATGACCAAATGCTGGAGGGACAGTGAGGCTGGGGAAGGCCTGCACTGAGGACCATTTATAACTTTGAGGAGCCAGGGAAATGACCTCAGACAATGAAGTCACCCAGTCCTGAGTAAACTTGTGGCCTTTTCATCTGGATTTAGAGATCCTACAGGGCAGGCCTAAAGAACATCTAAGTGTCAGAGAGGTGTTTTGGGAGCCAAGTATATGAGCTTCTTCCATCTGTATAAAACATAGAAAGCAGGGTTCTGGCCTTTTAGACTCCAAAATAGGTGGCAGATGAGGAAAAGCAAGTCAGAGTAAGTGTTTTTGACACTGCCACCCAGGTGGATGGATAATGCCTGGCTTGTGTGGTGATATGGGGCTATCATGGCAGATATGAATGGCACATGAACAAGCTGGGAAGCTACAGAGAGCCTTGAGGCCCCAAGCTGGGCATCTGGCCTTGGTCAGGAGCACTGTTAGCTTCTCAGCTGGCCTCTGCATTCAATGGTTAGGCTGAGAAGTGTGTGGCCCTACAAAAAGCCTTGTGTTGTGTGTGGCCCTACAAAAAGCCTTGTTTTCTGTTCTTAAAATCTCACAGAAGTAGAGACCAGATAGAATTTGAATGGAAGGCCGCCCGATGTTACCTGCTTCCATAGGCTTTTGGCATCCCTATTCTTCCCAGTGCAGTCAGCCAACTCTCTCTGCTGTATCCTAGAGCACCTGGAGGTTAATGATCAGTGCTGGAGTGGGACACACAGGATAAAAGCAAGTATCGGAGGTAAGTGGCTGGGCAGGTAGTGGTTCTTCTGCCTCATTCTCTCTGCATGAGCATTGTGGGGAAGAGGTCTGGGTGATAGCCACCATTTATTTGGAATCTCCCTCCTCCTCATTGGAGAATAGCAAGACCCTGATATTTGCAAGGACCCTACCGACCTTGCCTCTGTCAGCAGTCACTCGGCAACCCACCACCTCTGCTCTGGATCTTTAGTACAGATTTTGATGATTCCTGGGAGTGCTGTAGGGTCATCACGTGCCTTCACAGTAAATATGCAGGAACCGAGTTTTCTTTGGCAGAAAGAGAATTACTAATAGCAAGGACTCCTCAGGAGCAAAGCCTCATCAGGAAAGAATGAGCTGTGCTCAGGTGTTCCCTTCAGAAGTGCTGGTTCGCTGCTGCTTCTGCACCTCACTTGAGTGATGAGAATCTTCTGTAAGGCAAGCCTCAGTCCTGTCTGCCTGGGTACTCACCACCCAGCTGTCTCCATCAAAAAGTCTGGCCCAGGCCCTCTCCTGGGAACCAGAGACTCCTTTGCTCTTCTCCTCCAGACCCTGTGGAATAGTGGGGAAGAGTGGAAGGTGGAACACGCACTCTTCCTGCTCCTCTAGGATGCCGGGCCAGCTTCCGCCACTTTGACCAACTTCACACTCCATCCCCTTCCTCTCCTTTATTAGCCCCCTGAGCCCTCCAAGATCCAAAACAAAACATTTTTTTAAAATGTGCAGGTCCATTCTACTTCTACTGTGCCATGTCACTTCCCTGAAGTAACACTGCACAAATTCTTCCATCTGCTTGTTGAGGAGGAAGTTTCATCTGCTTGTGGAAAAGAAAAGACAAACAAGGGATACAATTTAATATTTTAAAGACTTACTATTTAGGGAAACCTGTCATAAAGACACTGATTTACAAAGCCCACTCTTTTGGTATAAATTTGTCAACCTAAAATAATCAAAGGACAAGAATCCCATTTTGAAGAGTTTTTAACAGTGAAATGCTAGGAATGGCTTTTTATCCTATTAAGTGTAAGAGTGGAAGAAATAGTGCACTGAACTGAGTTAAACATCTCAGTTTGTCATTGGAAGTCACCTCTCATTTTTCTCTGCTTTATTTATTTTCCATCATTTTCTTTTACCTTCACTTGAATTTTCTAATTTTTCTTGTGTGCTTGATATATTTCCTTGGAGATGTCTTTAAAAATGATATAATGCTGTGCTTTGTGTGTTTATCTTTTATTTTTATTTTTGAGACAGGCTTGTCTCACTTTGTCACCCACGCTTGAATGCAGTGGCACAATCTCAGTTCACGGCAGCCTTGACTTCCCAGGCTCAAGTGAGCCTCTCACCTCAGACCCCAAAGAAGCTGGGACTATAGGCAAGGACAATCACACTTGGCCAATTTTTCTATTTTTAGTAGAGATGGGGTTTTACCATACTGCCCAGAGTCATATTAAAATCCTGGACTCAAGTAATACCCCGTCCTGGGCCACCCAAAGTGCTGAGATTACACGCGTGAGCCACAACACCCAGCCATGTGTATGTACCTTTTAAATATATGTAAGTTAGTTATTTATAGATAGCCATCTGCTTCTTAGAATATCCTTAATGTATTTGCACATCATTTTAAGCCTACCAATAGTGCTTCATGAGTATGTATTGTGCACATATGTACACAAGCATATATTTCATGTGGAATATATAGTTCATATGTGCATATTACATCATGAATTTGTTTATAATAGCTGTTCCATATCTTACACATAAAATGTGCAGCTAAATTCAGTACAATTAGAAGTAGAATAAAATTTTGCAAATAAGATCTTTGAAAAATGTCCTCTGATAGACTTCTGTGACTGCTAATCAGGGGAATATACCCAGGATGTGATGGTCAGGACATAAAGTACACACATAACAGTTTTCCCTAAGTACTAAGAAAACGATCTCCAAATGAGGCTGCATCCTTGAAATAAAATATGAACGTGCCCATATTCTCACATTTTCACTGATTTTTGGCATAATCCAAATTTCTAAAATTAATAAACAGATATAAAATGTTATTTTTGAGTCACTTATTAGGTCACTATTGTTTCTGAGTTGCTCTTCACATATTTCGAATCCATTAAAGTTTTCCTTACTTTGAATTACTTATTCATATTGTGTTCAGGTTCTGCATTTCCCAAGTTTTTTCTTGTGAATATAAGAGTTCCTTAAAAAGGAACTATTACTATTATAGAATGAGTATTATGCGTGTCAAAGAATCCTAGTTTCTTTTTAATATTAATTCTCCCATTTTTCCTTAGAGCTCCACATAGTCAGCTGATAACATTATCATCCATATAAACACTATGTTTTTTAGCCTCTCTTGCAGGTCAATGGGACCATGGAATTAAATTTGGGAAAGTGAGATAAAGGCGTGATTATTTGCCTGTGACTTCCAGGGTGTTTCCTTATAGGAGAGTATCTTTTGTTCTTTCTACTCCTATTTCATCACTACAGCTTAGATGCACTTGTGTTTCCTGAAGCTCCAGAAGTTCTGTGTGACTATTGGTAAATGAGATGCACCGTAACTAAAGCTGGGGGAGTGTGGATTCATGAAGCAGAGCTGCCACAACAAACCTGGAGGGCCAAGCCTATAATTTTGTGTGAGCAAGAAGTATACTCACTTGTTTAGGTGGCTGTTATTTGGGAGCTCTTCTGTCACCTTCAATTGAACCTCTTTTTTTCACAAAATTATTCTTTATTCAATAAGAACAAATTTTCCTTGAAATACTTTTTTTTTTTTTTGAACTTTTATTTTAAATTTAGGGGTAAGTGTGCAGGTTTGTTACATAGGTAAATGTGTGTCATGGGAGTTTGTTGTACATATTATTTCATCACCCAGGTATTAAAACTAGTATCCATTAGTTATTTTTGCTGATGCTCTCCCTGCTCCCACCCTCCATCCTCTAGTAGGCCCCACTGTGTATTCTTCCCTCCTATGTGTCCATGTGTTCTCATCATTTAGCTCCCACTTATAAGTGGGAACATGTGGTATAATACTTGGATTTGTATTCCTGCAATAGTTTGCTAAGTAAGGGTAGCGGCCTCCAGCGACATCCACGTCCCTGCAAAAGTCATGATCTTATTTTGTTTTTTTGTTTTTTTATAACTGCATAGTATTTCGTGTGTCCCACGTTTTCTTTATCCAGTCTATCATTAATGGGCATTTACATTGATTCCATGTCTGTACTATTGTAAATAGTGCTGCAATGAACATATGCATGCATCTGTATAATAGAATAATTTATATTCCTTTGGTTATATATTCAGTAATGAGATGACTGGGTTGAATGTTATTTATGTCTCAAGGTCTTTAAGGAATCACCACACTGTTTTCCACAATGGTTGAACTAATTTATACTCCCATCAACAGTATAAAAGCATTTCTTTTTCTCCATAACCTTGCCAGCATCTGTTATTTTTCGAGTTTTTAATAATTATCATTCTGACTGGTGTGAGACAGTATCTCATTGTGTTTTTTAATTTGCATTTCTCTAATGATCAGTGATGTTGAGCTTTTTTTTCATATGATTGTTGGCTGCATGTATATCTTATTTTGAAAAGTAGACACTTTCATGTCCTTTGCCCACTTTTTAGTGGGGTTGTTCTTTTTTTGTAAATTTGTTTAAGTTCCTTATAGATGCTGAATATTAGACCTTTGTTAGATGTGTAGTTTGCAAAATTTTTCTCCCATTCTTTAAGTTGTCTGTTTACTCTGTTGATAGTTTCTTTTGCTGTGCAAAAGCTCTTTAGTTTAATTAGATCCCATGTGTCAATTTTGGCTTTCATTGCAATTACTTTTGGTGTCTTTGTCATGAAATCTTTGCCCATGTCGATGTTCTGAATGATATTGCATAGGCTTTCTTCTAGGGTTTCTTTTTTTTTTCTTTTTTTAATTGCATTTTAGGTTTTGGGGTACACGTGCAGAACATGCAAGATTGTTGCATAGGTACACACGTGGCAGTGTGATTTGCTGCCTTCCTCCCCTACACCTATATATGGCATTTCTCACCATGCTATCTTTTCCCAACTCCCCACCCCGCACTGTCCCTCCCCCATTTCCCCCCAACGGACCCCAGTGTGTAGTGCTCCCCTCCCTGTGTCCATGTGTTCTCATTGTTCAACACCTGCCTATGAGTGAGAACATGCGGTGTTTTATTTTCTGCTCTTGTGTCAGTTTGCTGAGAATGATGGTTTCCAGTTTCATCCGTGTCCCTACAAAGGACACAAACTCATCGTTTTTGATGGCTGCATAATATTCCATGGTGTATATGTGCCACATTTTCCCTGTCCAGTCTATCATCAATGGGCATTTGGGTTGGTTCCAGGTCTTTGCTATTGTAAACTGAGCTGCAGTGAACATTCAGGTGCATGTGTCCTTATAGTAGAACAATTTATAATCCTTTGGGTATATACCTAGTAATGGGATTGCTGGGTCAAATGGTATTTCTAGTTCTAGATCTTTGAGGAATCACCACACTGTCTTCCACAATGGTTGAACTAATTCACACTCCCACCAACAATGTAAAAGTGTTCCTATTTCTCCACATCCTCTCCTGCATCTGTTATCTCCTGATTTTTTAATGACCACCATTCTAACTGGCATGAGATGGTATCTCAATGTGGTTTTTATTTGCATTTCTCTAATGACAGTCATGATAACCTTTTTTTTTGTATGTTTGTTGGCTGCATAAATGGCTCCTTTTGAAAAGTGTCTGTTCATACCCTTTGCCCACTTTTTCATGGGGTTGTTTATTTTTTTTCTTGTAAATTTGTTTAAGTTCTTTGTAGATTCTGATTATTAGCCTTTTGTCAGATGGGTAGATTGCAAATTTTTTTTTCCCATTCTGTTGGTTGCCAGTTTACTCCAATGATAGTTTCTTTGGCTGTACAGAAGCTCTTAAGTTTAATTAGATCCCATTGATCTGTTTTGGCTTTTGTTGCCATTGTTTTTGGTGTTTCAGT